GGAAGGAAGGAAGGAAGGAAGGAAGGAAGGAAGGAAGGAAGGAAGGAAGGAGCGAGCATAGAAACCGGCCCTGTTCCCATGTTATTCGACCATATGAATATGGAAAAACATTTCTGCCTTAGATGAGGGGAGTAGCAGTAAACCTAATGCCCCAAAGTACAGAGGGTAGTTGTATAAGTTCCCTAATCTCATTCTAATTATTTGAATGTGCAAATAAATATTATTTGGTCTCTTTCACTGAAATAATAAACATACAAAAATATTTGGGAGGATGCATTTGTTACTTTCAAGATATTCTGGGAACATGATAATCAAAACTTATCAATCCCTCCCCAGCTTGTCTATAGAAAATTGAAAACATGGAAAGATGGAACACTTACAGAATACAAGGCACAAGTACAGAAATTCTCAAATTACATTTTGCTCTAGTTTAGAGGCCTCAATCACTGGTCATTAAATAGTAAATAAAAAGAAGAGGCTGAGATATACTTTATACAGTTCCTATGGAATGACAGTTATATAAACTATTTTTATAAGCAAGATTATTCATTTATTAAACACATTAAAATATTTCTCATTGTTTTAAGTAATTATCCTGGGAACAGTTACTTCTGTTTCAAGAAATATATTTACAAAAGTACACATTATCAAATACTGGTATCTGACTTGCTATTTTGGGAAACTGTACTTTTTTCATTGAGCAAAACTAGTTTTAAAAACATTTTTCAGCTTTATATAGCAAGATGCGTACCTAGATGAAAAGGGGAAAATGAATTGCCAAAGAAAGCTTCAGGTTTTTTTACATGGAAAACAATGTAGTCTGCACATTGTTCTGCATTTAAAGAGTTTATTGCTCCACATACCCTCATTTTAATTTCTCAGAGACCTCTCTCTTAGGCTAAGTCCAAAAATAGAAATTTTCAAGTATCTTTGTTTTCTATGAAATTGATGGAAATAAAAAGTGATTAATGTCAAAAGTACTGATTTAAATCACATCAATTTAAATAAATGAGATAAATTAAATTTATCACATTTCATTATCCTAATTAATTTATGTTATAGTATTTTAATAGGTTGCTCTAGCAATTAGAGCATTATACATTTGTAACTGAATCAAGCTTGTACATTATCTGAGCATAATTCAAGTCCTTTAATTATGCTGCTCACATGTCTTTTGCAGAGACATCTACGCATGAATTCAAATTGGAATTGTGAAATTAAGATTTCTGCTTGATGATTTATGTACAGATCCTTGTTAAACCATAACACTTCAAGACAGTGCCTAGAACTCAGAAAAAAAGGTTCACAATTACCAACCAGAACAATTAAAATATCTTGCTTATTACAGCATACATGTAAACAACATAAATAAATATTATACAGTTTCCAAACCTGCCCAATTGCTGTACTTGGAGAGGTATGCCTCTGATATCCTAGCGACTCATGATTTGTAGAGAGGGAGGAAAAAAACCCCAAATAATATATATGGCCTTCAAATAGTTATGTTTAGAATTCCTGACCTCAAAATTCATGCCCCTCTTTTCCTGTTTAGCCTCCTTCTATTCAAAAGTAGGCAGTTTCAATATAACTGTGTTTCATATTTTATAAAAAAGGAGATTTTATTAAACTGATCATTAATCAATCATGAAATGCATTCACCTGAAGAGTATTTTGATGCCAACTGTCATGTATAAAACATTAAAGAGATAAACATACATATGTAGTGTGTGTGTGAAATTAAGAATCATGTAATAGATCTGAATGAAGGTATCTTACGCTATATTGTGGACAGGATGCTATAGATACATGCAGGAAACAGAAGATGTAGAAGCAGATGTAGATGTATTAAAGAGCTAAAATATATTAAGAATATGTATGACTTAATCTACGTAGTTGTAGTGTGTAAAAAGGAAGAATACATAGGTTGGCTATACTTGAATGTTACTGTTCAGTGAAAAGGAATAATAGAAAAATTCAGAATGAGTATTTGGAAAAAAATGTGCAGTATTCCATATGAAGTATGATCAATGGGGAAGGGAGAAGGAAATATATTTGGTAGCATGAATTAATGTGTGGTAGCATGAATTAATGTGTAAAAGAAAACAAGACAGTATAGAAAAGGTAAGTAGATCATTTTGAGACCCAGCAATTATGAATGGTCAGTTTCTGCTTAGAAAAAGTTTAGTTTGTTGCAAATGTGCATTTAATAGAAAAGTGTGATTCATTTGCTTATGACTAAAAACAGAATTATAAAAGGCTATAAGGATAATGAAAGGTTATGAATGTTGGTAGATTACAATTTGATATTGGTTTTGGGAAAAGTGAAAGAAACTAGGGTAAAAACAAAAAGATGCAAAAAAAAAAAAAAGGAATATAAGGAAGTATTAGAAAATAAATTGAATTCCCAACAGAATTACTGAAAATTGGACAAAAAGAAAATGGATGTGGAAGCCGCTCAGAATGGTGGAAAAATAATTATATTACAGAGTGCAACTAAGGTTTATTAAGTTACATAAATCAGAAAAAGGATGCTTGGTGGAATGATGAAGTGAAAAAGGCTATGGATGAGGAAAAAGTTTCAGGTAATAAATAAATTCAAGAAAAACTAAGAATGAGACAAATTATGTGTACAGAGTGATAAGGACCACAAAGAATACAGACAAAGAGCAAGAAATAGTTAAGGTTTCAAAGAGCAGAAAAATGCAGAATATTTTGATGGAAATAAAAATAATTATGCAAGTGAGTGAAAAGGACTAAATAAGGAGCCTCCAGTAGAACAAATGGAATTAAAAATATATTGGGATGAAACTGAAGTGAGGGAATGTTGGAAGGAGTGTTTGATTATAGATTTACATGGAAATGACAGTAATACGATAAATGGAATTGAAATGTTATAAACCTTAAAAGTTCAAGAAAAAAGGAAGTAATAATTGATAAATTGTGAAAAATGTAAGACTGCAGGTATGGATGGAGCAACTGGAGAAAAGTTAAGATATAGTGGCTTGCTTCTGGCTGTGCAACTTGTTAATTTATGTGTGAAAACTGCCTCTGTTCCTGATTGAAAGAATGCTGTTATTCTAAAAAAGAAAAGAAAGGACAGAAAGAAAGAGTGCAAAAAAATGTTACGGCAGTTAGTTTGTGCCTGGAAACATGATTGAAATAGCACGAGAGTGCTATGTGGTTGTTAGGAGTCAAAAACAACTTGATGGCACATAATCGATCGATCAATGAGAAGTTACAGTGGAGAAAATGTGGGACAGCAAGGAATGTGTGCAGACCAAACTTTTGCTCTTTGCTACATCACTAAGAAATGTATAGATGTGAGAAAGTTTATTAATTTATAGAGCTTAGCTGCTATCTATGATATTGGGTATTTTGCTCTGTAGTCCTAATAGCTAGTTGCAGCATTGTTGCACTTTTCCAAAAATAATGTATCTTGGAAATTATTTTGCTCATGGCATTGTAGATACAAAAACAAGAATGTTGTGCCTCCTCCCAAAAGGCAATTTTTCACAGCACTAAATGTTAAGAATATAAAATAATAATTATAAAGGGTTTTAGGCAACTCTGTAATACAAAATCTGAGAAATGTATTTCCATTTTTGTGCTACTTCTTGATTAGCTAAACTTCATTATAATCCATATTGCAACTTTTCATCAAGCAGTATTTGCTAAAATTAGTGATGCTGAGAAGAAAGTATAAGAGACCTTGAATTATTTTCTAATGTCAAAGCAGATTATTAGAAACTATATTAGTGTTGCAGGAAGTCCCAGAAATTTAGACAAAAATAAAATATAAAATTACAATTAAATTACAATCTCTTATTGTTTTAAAATGGTATACTGATGATACATTTTCAAGAGAAAGATAGTTATTCAACCTGTTTCTTCCTTTCTTTTTTAAAAAAGTTACAGAGTATTAGATTATTTATATTTACCCTATGTTCAAATATATTAGAATATATAAACAGATATATATGAATTACTAGAACTAAAGTGACAAAAAGCACTGTCATTTTCTGTGTACAAGAAAGTAGTTTTCAGAAAAACATTAATGCAGTAAATTAATCATATTTAACAAGCTCTATAAAATAAGGTTTTGCTGCCAATGGTAAGTGCCTTGAGTGATCATTATGCCTTTTAGGTTAGAGACTAGAAGTTAAGAAGCAGTTGCAAAAAAAGAGAAGCCTGACAATAGTTTTACTGCAGATTCCATGGCCTCTTTCTTCTTTCCAACAGTATTTTTACTGGTTTATAGCAATTGCACTGTAATTGTAGAAAAGGCAGAAACTTTGGGATGGACATTACACTCTTAATTTTCTCCATTGCCTAGCATAAAAGCTGACAAAAGATACTTTCACGTGAACATCTCTTTCAGATGGTGTTGGGGAAAATAGAAATGATACAAACCCTTATTTCTGCAGAAGCACATACTGAAAAGCTGGCCATTACCCTTGCCTCTTATGCAGATACTACATACAGGTAGTCCTCGACTTACGACCACTCATTTAATGACCATTCAAAGTTACAATGGCACTGAAAAAGTGACTTGCAACTGGCCCTTGCACTTATGACTGTTCTAGCATCCTTGTGGTCACATAATCAAAATTCAGACACTTGGCAAGCAGCATGCATTTATGATGGTTGTAGCATCCTGGGGTCACGTGATCACCATTTGCAATCTTCCCAGCCAGCTTCTGACAAGCAAGTCAATGGGGGAAGCCAGATTTGCTTAACAACTGTGTGATTCGCTTAACAACCACAGCAAAAAAGGTCATAAAATTGAGCATGACTCACTTAACGATGGCATTGCTTAGCGACAGAAGTTCCAGTCCCAGTTGTGGTCATAAGTAAAGGACTACTTGTAATAGGGCAGAAAGGTTTTTCTCTCTCAACTCGGAACACTGGGGTACCTTTTTCAAAGAAACACACTTTTATCTGCTGACAGAAAGATGTTGCATCAGACCAACTGTAGTTGTGCAGTTCAGATGAAGCCCTCATTACTGCTGACCAGATTTCTGAAACTGCATTTAGTATAAAATGGTAGCATAGAAGATTACAGGTAGAATGGCTTACTTTTCTATTATGACTTATTTTTCTATTATTGAAATATATTATTGGAATATATATCAAAATTTCTTAAAGTTCCAAAGCAGCGCTAAGTCATCCAGGCACAAGAAAAAAGTAGCTATCAGAACTGAAATTGTAAGAATGGAATTTGATGGGCACATATCTGAAGAGTCAAAATACCTGGCATCAATGTAGCTGTAGGAAACAATTTTTCTTGCATAATTTTACTTTCATGTAACAGCTCTTCTTTGGTTATCGGAAGGTCTAGGGCATCTCGAATGACTTCTGCTCCTTCCAATGCTTTTTTGCCCATTGCTAAGGATTTCACATCCCAGGTATAGGTTTTTCCAAAGCGACTGCAGATTTCTTGGAACACAACAGTGTAAAGATGTTCAGTATCTGCGGAAGAAAGAAAAGCTGAATTAAAATGTTTTCAACCTCTAATCAGCTAGATTGACAAACTAAAAGAATAGAAATTGTAACTAAACAATAATCTGTCCTTACCAATAGTATAGGGCAAAGTGTTCAGTACTAAGTGACCAATCAGAAGACAAATAAACGGACTACAGGTAGTCCTCATTTAATGAGACTAATTGGGACTGGAAATTCCATCGTTAAGCAAGATGCTCTTAAGTCGAAAAACCACGTGACCATGCTGCTTAGAGATGGCAGTTCCAGCTGCTGTCATTAAGCGAGGATTGCACAAGTCATTAAGCAAGGACCATGTTCAGAGCCAACTGCTGACTGATCATCAGATGCTAACTAACATGACTCACACTGCATGAATCAGGAACATATTATCCATCAGCGCTAAGTGCAGGACCTTGCAACTACTGCAGGACCTGAGAAATGCTACTGTGAACTCTATCCATTATAGCATGTGAGTTATGCACACTGGAGTTCTAATCATTTGCACAGTGTGTTTAGATTGTAGTCAACCAACACTACGGAGGACTTTCCACCCAAAAGTTTGCTCTTAGTTTCTTTTTTCTTTTCCTCTATGAGTGGGAATGTTTCCAGTTTTTCATATTAAATATTCTGAGAAATCCTGAATTTGCTAAGTTGAAACATTCCAATATACTGTTTTGAGTCCAAAGCTTAAAGTACATCTTCCATTTTGCATCCACCTAGTTATATTTTCCATATGATAATCTTTTCTTTTCATCTTCTAATCTATAAACCCTAGCTCATCATGTACAAATAAATATATCCCATTCCACCTATTAAAGGAATCTGTGGTCTGATTCCTATTTTATAGACTGTCCCTACAGGACACTGGTCCTTGATTCCTGCTCATTTATTTAAGAGTACAAACAACAAGGGTGCTGGCAGATAAAACTAAGAGCATCCTGGAGGTAATTAAACATTTGTTTAGAGTGGAATATTTTCCAAGGCAAAGACAGGTAGAGGCACATATTAACATGAGGAATGAAGCAACGAATGAGATTAGTATCTATGATAACAAAATTAGTTTTTGTCCAGGGTTTTAGGGAGGAGGGCATTTAGAATTAGGAGAAAATGTCAACACCCAAATGAAGAACTACACGGAAGACAAAACCCAAGGTCTATAAACTAAGAAGTGACCAAACATTTTTGTCTGTCATTTTCAACAAGGAAAAACAATGTAACCCTTTTCACAGCTCTAACTACTAGATTGGATCCATCATCTGAGAAACATTCTTAGGTTAGGAAGGCAGATGTTTGCCTTATAAGCCCATATTTAAAAGCAGAGTGTTATAGGCTTGTACAATTATAATAACTCAAATATAACAACAGGAGTGAAAATAAAAAAAAAAGATCTTAATCAGAGAAACAATACTTAATTTGGAATTGCTGATGATAAATGAAGAAGGAAATCTAGTACCTCAGGGATGATATTACCTACTCTATTTATACTAGAAATTAATTTATTTTTCAAAGCTTTGAACAGAACAGTAGAAGTTCTTCAAAAGAGTTCTACAGTTTTCCTTATATTGCTGGCAGCACCACTAGTTTTGCATCTAACTATATTAGTATTATAATACTACAACCTATAATCAAGGAATTTAAGAGCAAATAAGCTTTTCTTAGGCCACTTTGTGAATATAAAGCTTAAGGGTAAGGATCAACACTTTTCTTGAATTTGTTATTTTAAAATATAGAGGAACAAATATCCCTATTCTCTTGAAGTGCTTAAAAATAGATTTGTATGCATTTATAGGAGGCAGTGATATCTAAGATCAAAAAGATAGACTCTATTTTTTTTAATTGGACAGCTGCTACTGAAGGAAGCTTGAACTTTCTTGGGAAGTAAGGATAACAAACCTACCGCTAGAAACCAGCCAACATGAGCTTCTTAAATTTCAAAAACATGAAGGAGTTTTACTCTGGAGATTCAAAGACAGAGTAACTGTATTAATTCAGCAGGTATTCAACCTCAACTGCTCTCTCCATTTTCCCAAATAACCTATTTTCAGTTCTTTTATGATGGATAATACAAGGTTTGAACTGTCTTAAGGAGTGCAACCAGCTTTCAGTCTACTATTGTCATACGTAATAGAGGTGCATGATTGTACAAAGGAAAAGATGGAACAAATAACTGAAAATGTATATTGCGGCAAATGTCATAAGTAGTAACAAATTACTCCATATAATTTCTCAGCAAACCTTCAATTATCTTAAGATGCTGATGTCTTTCAATGACATTTTATTTTTTTCTTGGTATGCAAATACCTACACACACTATCCCTAACATGCCTTCTTTTTGACAGAATTTACGTTTTATACAAATATACATTTGTATATATGAACTGTGCTGTTTGAAAACAGATGCCAGTGCATACCATATCTTGCCCTCTATTTCTCAACCACCAAATCTACTTGATAGGGATATTCAACAATATGCTGAATAAAAGAAATTCACGATTGATTTCTTGTATACCTCTTGAAAAAAGTGTGTAAAATTGTGCTGTATTCTGTATAGCTTAAGAAGCAGACTTTTATGAAACCCTGTTTCTTTTTCCCAGACAATATATTTGCTAGTACATATTTGAAATGCAAAGACCAGACCCAAAAACTAGATATTCCCTATCAATTTATTAAGTACCTTCTTTTAGCTGCACATAATTTCATTACAATCACCCAAAAATAACTACTGGATTTTTCTTTTATACACAAAAAATGAAGCATAGGACAGACCTGTCATACTTAACTTAATGTATCTGGTTCTGAAGTCCCCTGCACTGAATCTCTTTCCCTAAAGCTCTTTTCCTCACTGGGAACTGATAGATTCAGAGCTAATGGAGAGCCAATTCTGTTCTTGTCTGTTAGATAGATAGATAGATAGATAGATAGATAGATAGATAGATAGATAGATAGATCTAATCCTTGGGTTACATTAATTGCTACAAAGGGTTTTCTTGGATGATCTAAACTGTTGATCTAAATTTTAGAGTCAGAGATTTTAAAATCCTAAAATAATCTTAGAATCAGTTCGACTTCATTCTTTAAATTGACAGGACACTCCATAATTCATAAAATGCTCACAATATCAAAGAAAGAGTTAAGTACCTTTCCACTGTATTTACAGGAATCTGAAAAACACAGCAAAGCATAATTACGTTTTTCACAGTCAGCACAAAGTCAAGAGTCTTGGTTCTGAAAGGTACCAAGATTGATAGCTTAAGGATGAAAAAAAAAAGTGGGAGGGGGAAACCTCACACCCCTGTTCACTTGGCAATTCTACACAATGTTGTCAGCAAGCTTACATGAAGATAAATTGGCAGCACAATTATTACAATACCTAATTCTGAATTCTAGGCTATTTCCTAGGTGCTGAGAAAGCACTGTTTCTGCCTAAAAAAAAAAAAAAATCACTGATCTACTTAACCAGAGCAGAAGGGCAAACTCTGTCTCTTCCTATGCTCTTCAACAATATCCCAAAATATGGAAAATGAGGGTAATGGCTTGGATCCTCATTCTGATTTTCTCTGATTCTCCACTTTCTTTTGTAACCCACCCTTGAAGGTTAGGGAAGCTCTTTGGAGTTACAAAGATGAGTGGAAATAATTTCTCATTTGTGGGACTTTTTCCTGGATCTCTGATCAATATGAAAAAGTTGTCCTTTAGTTAATGAAAATCTAGTTAGATCTAAGTTAGCAGCCGATGAAATAAAAATTGCAAAAACTGCATTTTGTCTGATTACATTTTTTAAAAAGTAAACAAAAGGAAAAGTATTTGGCATTATTTTACTTATCGTAGCTAGGCTTCTATGTAGCTTAAGTAGTTCTTTTTATTTTCAACATTTTTAAGGGTATCTAGTTTATAAGAAATCCTCAGAATGCATCCAGAAAAACTTACATTATATCATCTTTAGAAAAAACTGGTCTGACCTATCAAGCTAGTTTTAAAATACTTCAGCAGCAAACACAAGTAGTGTAATTAACAAACACTACCACATACATGATTAAACCATGTAGTCACAGAGCAGTACTGCATTTTCCCTAGCACTATCTCAAAATTTACCTTTTTTAAACAATTGCTACACAGCAGTTCCCCTAGCAAGAATTCTTCTTTGCTTTTTCATAGTAAGCTGAAATCTTAGATGAAATGGCAGAATTTGTCTCTTCCCAACTATTTGTGCTTCTTTAGGATTAAACTAATCAAGCATTTCCCTTTTAAAGTCATAATTTTTTATAAATCTGAAGTAGTCCATTAGTCCGTGAGTCCATCTTTTGTTATGGTCAGTGACCAGAATTCCACTTAAAACATAATGTAAAAAATAAAACATACAAAATGGAATGACAAAAGTAAAGAGCAAAAGTAAAAGTAAACTTAATAATCAATATAAATTATCACAACGAATGTAACGATAAAACAATATTTGGACACATTGAAAGAAACTAAATCATACTGGTTGGCTAATTAGCAACTATACATAAAATAGATCGAGATGGCCCAGAAATTCAATTAATAAGGATAAAATGTAGCCATGCATTTTTATAAAATGGATAATGCAACAATATATACATCATATTTTCAACCATCCCTTCACCATGAGGACAATCATTAAGAATAAGGGATTTTCCTAAACTTTTATTCAAGGATGGCTTTAATGGAAGTGCATTAAAACATGCAAGGGTCACTGTTTTCCGAATATTATTGAGGTAGACTGCTGGTCTAAAACAACCCCAAAATAATACTAAAAGGAAGAAAAATACTCTATAAGTAAAGCTGACAAATCTAATTGCTCTTCTATATTCACATCACACTGTTTAAGGCTTGACGCCACCAGTTTATAACCTATCATCAGTAATGCTTACTGAATATAATTCTGCAACCTCTGATGAATTAGTCTTGTCCAAGTCAATTCAAAGTTACCAACTAAGATCAAAGCACCTGGACCCACTGGAAAAACCTGT